TAGGGAAGATGCCCATGGTAGAAAAATTAGAACTTGTTCATACAGATGTGTATGGGCTAACATCAGTCTTATCATTGGGAGGTTCACAATACTATGTAACCTTCATTGATGATTCCACTAGAAAGGTATGAGTTTAATTTTTGAAGAAAAAATCATAAGCTTTTAATACCTTAAGTGGAAAGCCATTATTGAGAATGAAACATGATTAAAAATTAAATATTTAAAGTCTTATAATGATGGTGAATATAATTGTACTGAATTTGTTGATTATTGTGTTGAGAATGATATTAGAATGCTTAAAATTATTCCTGAAATACCTCAGCAGAATGGTATTATTGAAAGTATGAACATGACCTGAGATGACAAAAAATATGAGAATTCGTAGAGGATTAGCGAAAACTTTATGGGCAGAAATAGTGAATACAACAACATACCTCATTAATCGAGGGTCATCATTTCCCATAAGATTCAAGATTCCTGAGAAGGAATGACAAGACAAGGATGTAATTTCATTTAAAAGTTATGTTTCTTATGTTCGTGTTAAAGATGTTGACAGGGCAAGCTTGATTTGAAAGCAAGAAAGTGCATTTTTATTGGTTATGGATTAGATGATATGTGATATCGCTTTTGGGATGATTTAAATAAAAATATTATTAGAAGCAAAGATGTTACATTTAATGAAAATGCAATATACAAGGATAAATTTGAGACAAAAGCTGAAGTTGAAAAGAAGTCAATATAAAAGAAAAATGTAGTGTTAGAAGACATTACAGAAGACAATTTTGCAGGAGGAAAAGGCGGGAGCTTAGGAGACAAGACTGTTCATGGGACCACTCCTATCACCCCAGTAGTTGAAGCGATGAGATCCAACAGAATTATTAGGCCTCCTCACAAATTTTCTCCTTCAAAAAATTACTTGTTGTTGACTGACGATGAAGAACCTTTGTGTAATCATGAAGTATTACAGATGGATGATGCAACTTAGTGGGAGTTAGCCATGCAAAAGGAGATGAGCTTACTTGAGAAAAATAAAACTTGGTGTTTGACTGACTTACCAGCAAGAAATAGGACATTGCAAACAAGTGAGTGTTTAGGATCAAGAAGAACATGATGACAACAAAATATACAAGACAAGGTTAATGGTGAAAGACTTTAAGTAAATTAAAGGTATTGACTATAATGAAATTTTCTCTCCTATAGTTAAAATGACTATCATTAGAATTTGTGTTAAATATTGTGGCTGCAGAGAATTTACATTTAGAGCATTTAGATGTTAATACAACATTCTTACATTGTGATCTTAATGAAAACATTTACATAGTATAACCAAAGGGTTTTCAAGTTGCAAGAAAAAAGAACTTGGTTTGCAAGTTGACAAAATTTGTATGGGTTGAAGTAAACACCTAGACAGTGGTATTTGAACTTTGATAGTTTTATGAATAGGAAAGGGTACAAGAAGTGTGTCGTGGATCAATGTTGTTATACAAAAATTTTGGTTCATCCTATATCATATTACTATTGTATGTTGATGACATGTTAGTTACATGTTCTAATATGGATGAAATTGATAGATTAAAGACATAGTTGTTTGAAGAGTTTGAGATGAAGGATTTAGGTATTGTAAAGCAGATTTTTGCCCTGAATATCAGCAAAAACAAATTTGAAGGTTCGCTAATATTATCTCAAGAGAAGTATATCAAGAAAATATTAGAGAAATTCAATATACAGGATGCCAAAATCGTAAGTACACCTTTGGAAGTTCACTTTAATCTCACTAAAGAGGAGTCACCTAAGGTTCCTTATGTATTTGCAGTTGGTAGCTTAATATATACAATGATATGCACTAGACCAAATATTGTTCATGTAGTGAGAGTTGTTAGTATATTCAGGTTTCCAAGAAGGAAACATTGGAACACCGTCAAGTGGTTTTTATACTATTTGAAAGTACTTCTAAAACTACATTATGTTTTCGAAGAAATGATGTCATTTTGGAAGGATAATTCGATGCAATTTTGAAAAGTTGTTTAGACACAAGGAAAGGTACTACAAAATTTTTCTTCACAGTAGGTGACACAACAGTTAGTTGGATGTCTCAAATTTAGAGAAGTGTTGCACTTTCAACTACAGAAGCAAAGTACATGACTATTTCGGAAGCCAGTAAGGAAATGATTTGGTTAAAGAATTTTCTTGAGGAGTTAGGCAATAAGCAATGAAACATTGTTCTTTATAATGATAGTTAGAGTGTCATTCATCTTGTAGAGAATCCTATTTTTCATGCGAGAACAAAACACATCCAGTTGAGGTATCACTTCATTAGAAGACTAATAAGTAATGATACTTTATTTTTAGAGAAGATTCTTGTATCAAAGAATCCTGCATGTATGTTGACCAAAGTGATTACTACTGAGAAATTGAAGTTTTGCATAACTTCAATTGACCTTCATGGTTAATTGTTAAGAATACATTGCACTAACTTGGGGGTGTTATATAGCTTTGATGTTTGCTAGATTTACTTTTGAGTGTGCTTGATGTAGTCTCCAAGTGAGAGATTGTTAAGTATGTATAGTCCGAAGGGTTATCGGATCTCACAATTTACTTATTCTTTTATTATAAATACTTATATAATTGTAAAACTAATTAAGTGAATAAAAACTACCATTTAATGCAACCGTTGACGTAAGCTATTTTGATTGAACCATGTAAATTTCGTGTGTTTTTATTATTTATTTTCGTTTTGTAGTGCATTTGTATTTCTTTTAAATTTTTTTTCACGCGAATAAGAGCAACGACAGGAGACAAGTAAATGAAGATGGACTTACGAAGGAATTTACTTACACAAGAAATTTACTTACATATAGAATTTATGTGTATGTGATTCTTCAATTGAATAAGTTTTTGTACTCGATAAAAAAAAATTGTTGCACTGATAAAAAAAAGTTGAATAATAATGATAAGTGCTTCCAATTTAACAAAATTAAAATACAACATTTATAATAAAGTAACTAGATTAAAAAAATATAAAAGTGAAAAATAGGCAATTTTAAAAAATTAGGAAAGTATTTATTAAGTACATTGATCCATCATTGGTTAAATATTAATTTAATTTATTCTTGTTGCATAATCTAAATTTGAAAATATATAAATATCCATTAAAAAAAGTTAAATATTGAAAATAAATAAAAATTATTTATTAACACTATATATTATCACTTCTATCTCCTAAAAACATGTAGTTATCTTTAAGAAATAATTATGATTTACAAAATATATTGGAATACCTTTCATGATGTAAAATATGTAATTAATTAATCTAATAAAATTATTCGTTTTCATCCAATTAATCTTGTAATTATATATTTTTAATTAAATATTATTTACCATTATTTTTTTTTGTAACATTATGTTATATAATATATCTAGAAGGATGTAATTTTGAATCACCTAGTTAGTGATAAAAAAATAGGATTTTTATAAAGGTCACGTGAACAAACTTATTTCCCCACATCACGAAAATGACAATCATAATTTTAGATATTTAAAAAGTATCTTGAGCAAATACTAATTATGTGTCTTATATTTAAATAAGGTTGTTATGTAAAATTTTTAAATGTCAAAAATAATAATTATGTGTCTTATACTAAATATTAGACGTTATTATTTTATTTTATTTTTATAAAAATAATTTTCTATATTTAAACCTATAAATTTTCATAATAATAATAATAAGTCTTAATATAAAATATTTATAATATGAATAATGAACAATAATATAAAAAATTATACTATTTGAGATTTGAATAACGATAATATAAAAAATTATATCATTTGAGATTTGACTTTTTCACTTTAGCGTGAACAAAATATATAATGAAAGAAATAAATTATTTTTAATACTAACTCGTAAATACAAAATAACCTTTTTGCATATTATTTAAATATATCATAAACGAAATGATTTAGAAGAATATGATTTTTTTAATATTTTGAGGATTAAAATGATTCGAGAATTAATTTAAAAATTTAAATTACAAAAATTTAAATTACAAAACCTAATTTGGGGTTAACAGTTATTTCAAATAATGAATCAAAACACAATTAAATGTTCTTAATAACATGGGTAGGTAGAAGATAAAAATACAATATATATATTTTTTAATGTGCACAATATAAAAGGTTAAAACATATTTTAAATACAAAGGGATAAATAATTAAAATCAAATTTTTAATATTTTGAGCATTAAAATGATTCGAGAATTAATTTAAAAGTTTAAATTACAAAACCTAATTTGGGGTCAACAGTTATTTCAAATAATGAATCAAAACACAATTAAATGTTCTTAATAACATGGGTAGGTAGAAGATAAAAATACAATATATATATTTTTTAATGTGCACAATATAAAAGGTTAAAACATATTTTAAATAAAAAGGGATAAATAATTAAAATCAAATATTTAAATAAAGATAAAAAGAGTAATTTAAGATTTTTGAAAAAGATTTAGATTAGATAAAATTTTAAACTAAATTAAGTTTAAAATATAATAAGAACGATATTTGAAAATTAATAACATGTAGATTTTTTTCTTCATTAATCCACCTCCACGTGAAAAAACAATGTTTGAAGTTTCCAAAATACCGAAACTATCCTCGTAGATGTTGAGTAAAGGGGTTTTATTTGTTCTCTTACCGGATAAAATAAACCACACTGGCCCATCGATTCAAAATCGCACGGAAATTGATAACAAGAAAAATTCAAATTCACTCGTCAGAACTCAACGCAACACTTGTTCATCGATTCAATTCAATTCAATCCTCTTCTTCTTCCTCTTTGTCTTCTTCTTTCTTCTTCTTGTTCAAGTTCTTGAACTGACCCAGCTGAATTTCTCACCGAATTCACAAAATTCCGAAAAAGCCCTTCTTCTAGTCCCGAAATGTCCCACCCTTTTTCCTCCGCCTAGCCGCCACCAACTCCCACCACCCGCCGCCGATCTCTGCGAAAGATGATCGTGCGCACCTACGGCCGCCGCAACAGACCCCTGTCGGGAACGTGCTCGGGGTCCTCCTCGCTCAACGACGACGTTTCGGAGCCATTCTCGCAGGAGAGCGGCGACCCTCTCTGCGCCTTCGCCTTCTCCTCGCAGGACTCCTCCTCGCAGCATTGGCCCCTCTTTGATTCGGAGATCGACGATTTGTGCGGCGGGAGGGAGGCCAAGCGGGCACGCCGCGCGGCGGAGAAGATTCCGGCGACTTCCACGCTCATGGAGGCGCAGGAGTTCGGTGAGATGATGGAGCACGTCGACGAGGTCAATTTCGCCCTCGATGGTCTCCGGAAGGGTCAGCCTCTGCGGATCAGAAGGACGAGTTTGGTTTCGCTCTTGACAATTTGCGCCACTACACATCAGAGGAGGCTTCTCAGGACGCAAGGGTGTGTCAATTTCTCTCCAACTTTCTTCTTTCTTGCGAATCTGAAATGGGTCTTTTGCCTTGAACGTGTTCTCAGTGTGTGTGTTTTGATTTAAATATCTTTTGTTTTCCATTAGTTTGCTATTTTAAATTTTGTTGGGTTTGTTTCAAAATTTAAAATTTGGCTCGGGAGGAGTGATGGGGGTGGTTTTAGGTTCGTTGCATGCGTGGGGTTTTTTATTTGTTGGCGCTTTTGAATGTTGGCGATGAGTCGGGAGCTGTAAATTTTTTCGTGGATTTGAGTAATTATTACTTAATTACTTCTGCATGAGATGAAGAATTAAAAGGGTTGATTTTTTTTTTCAGTTTTGATTTTTGGTATTAACGTTGCTGTTTTGGTCGATTTGATCTTGAGATCTCTTTGGGAACTTTTTAAGTAGAAATGCGACTTGAAGGGATATTAGATATTTTACCATTTTTAAGGATTGCGTTTGTTTATTTCACCTAATGGACTATGTTGCTGTTTTTTTTTTCAGTTTTGATTTTTGGTATTAACGTTGCTGTTTTGGTCGATTTGATCTTGAGATCTCTTTGGGAACTTTTTAAGTAGAAATGCGACTTGAAGGGATATTAGATATTTTACCATTTTTAAGGATTGCGTTTGTTTATTTCACCTAATGGACTATGTTGCTGTTTTTTTTTTTCAGTTTTGATTTTTGGTATTAACGTTGCTGTTTTGGTCGATTTGATCTTGAGATCTCTTTGGGAACTTTTTAAGTAGAAATGCGACTTGAAGGGATATTAGATATTTTACCATATTTAAGGATTGCGTTTGTTTATTTCACCTAATGGACTATGTTGCTGCTTTTTTTTTTTCTTAATTTTTACGAGGTAATCCCGTGCCTCTTTTTGGTGTGATATTAATCATCGCCCATGGTATTGAGTCCCCCTTGCCCGTTATTTCTTGTGTGGTCGAACCCAACCCGGAAGTGCTGAACCCAAAGTTTCCCTCCCCACACTAGCCACTGGTTGTGGGTGGCTTTGTTGCTATTTGATACAGTAATAATAGCGTAGAATTTTCCATATCAAGATTGATTGAGATTAAAGAGATTCATAATATTGTTGTTACCATTGCTCCTAAGTCTCATGTAATTATCATTGCTTCATAATATTTTATCGAGAAAACTCTCGGTTAGGTCCTCCGAAAATTTTAGTTGCTGAATTAGTCTCTCAAAGATGTTTTTTGTCATTGCTCTAGTCCTTTGAAGATTTAATCCCTCTTAGTTTCTCTGTGTCACAACATTTTCCTTCCGTAGGGATGAACACGTACTGATTTTTTAGATCTTTGAAGAACTAATTTGGCGATAAGTTAAATTTTTAAAGGACTAATTTGGTATCAGAACCTTTGGAGGACAACTTTAGTGACCAAAAACTTTTGAGGACTAATGTGGTGTTCACATTTAGCTTTTGATGAATAACTCAATTGCTCATTCTACTTCCATAAGTCTTCATTAGATGGAACTTCAAACTGAGTGTATGGATTGAACTCACTTTTATATTAGAAATATACCTCCTGTATGGATGTTTAGCTGATAAATCCCTGATTTGTGTGCTTTATAGGATGGCAAAGACAATAATTGATGCTATTTTGGGTCTCAGTCTTGATGATTCTCCCAGCAATCTTGCAGCTGCTACCCTTTTCTACATTTTGACCAGTGATGTAAGACTTTTGCTTATGGAAATGTAGATATTGAATTTTGAATGATGAAAGAAGATATGGGTGATATCAGCATTACTGTTATTGTGTATTTTACGATTAAAGTTTTTGTTTCAGGGCCAAGATGATCACCTCCTTGAATCACCTGGTTGTATTCAATTTCTAATGAAGTTTCTAAGACCAATTGTCACTACAGCCATTAAAGACAAAACTCCAAAATTTGGCTCTAAACTTCTATCATTGCGTCAGAACGATGACATGCTAAGAAATACAATGGGAAAATTGGATTCCAGTTCTGCAGAAGTTTTTTCTAGAGTGCAAGAAATTCTAGTAAATTGCAAAGAGCTAAAAACATGTCAGAATGAAAGAAGGGTGGAGAGACCAGAGTTATGCCCAAAGTGGGTATCATTACTGACAATGGAGAAGGCTTGTTTGTCTGCCATTTCTCTTGATGGTATTGTAAAGAACATTCATGGAAGTTTGTATTATTGGCTGAAGATGTTCTTTTAAATTCCAATATCATTCTTTTTGTGCACAAAATTAATAATATATAATCAAATCTGTTTGAGTAAACAAGTATATAGTGTTTAGAATGCATTAATTACAGGTTTATGTACTGTTCTTGTTGATTTTATTTCTTCCCAATTTCTGAAGGTGTCATCCTGATTTTGAAATACAAATAAAAATAGTGAGTCTCAGCACAGTGGTGCTTAACTTGATGAATCTGGCTTTTTATATACACTTTCTAGGAGGGTAATATATTCTCACTTGCATTTCAGTGGTATTTGTTTGTGTGAATTTCCTTTGCAATTTTATCAAGATTTTGCAGTTTTCACTTGTTAATTATGATATCTGTGGTATTCTTTCTCCATAACAAGTTTTAATTGCTATAAGTAGTTTATGCTGCTTCTAGTTTATCAAGAACTAACTTCAATTGTCTTTGTAATGCTCCTGTGGTCCTGTTGAATGTATATATTCTTATGGAACCATTCTATTGAAACATCATCTGAGTATTTTTATATTCTTTTTTTGGACGGTATGGGGGATTACTTTATTCAGAAACCTCGGGCGCTGTACGGAAGACTGGTGGAAATTTCAAGGAAAAGTTAAGGGAGCATGGAGGGCTTGATGCAGTCTTTGAAGTCACAACAGATTGCCATTCAGATTTGGAGGTGTGAGCTTGTATGTTAGTTCATGTATATGCTTATTTTGTAGTAGACATGACTTTCACAAAAGAAACTGACAGACAGTCAGACAGTATTCCTTGATCTCACATGAGATATTGTATTTTGCTGTGCATTACCAATTCATTTATTAGCCTGTTAGGAAAGCTCAGAAGATTACATTTTGATCAATAAGACAGATTGTGTAGCAACATGAGTATTTGGGTAACTTTTTAGAATCCCAATTAATTCTGCTGTGAATGAAATTGATTTGACAAAAAGAATTTTCAAATTTTTCTGTTAAATAGATTCTTACTGTAGGACCCATTCTACACACACACACAAACACACAACACACTTAAAGTGCGATCATAAAATATTTCAATTACTCTAAACTCACTTTTAAAATATCATTCTAAACCACCATTTCCTTTAACCTTATTTATTTCAAAAATAAATTCTTTAAACATTACTTCTAAATGTACACTATATTTGCTTCCTCAAGTTAAGATTTATGGTAACAATTACATGAAAACTCTGGATTTGTCTTTCAGAGCTGGATGAAGGATAGTTCTCTTTCTACCAAAGGTTCAAGAAATGACAAACTATTCAAGAGCCTAACCTTACTTCTCAAGTGCTTGAAGATAATGGAAAATGCTACTTTCCTAAGCAACGACAATCAGGTTGACATGTGTTATTTGCATGTTTACTTAAAAAATTAGTTTATTTTTATAGATATACGTCTTGCATAATGCATGCTGCATTCCTATCTTGGTGTTCATGTTCATTACCAATAATTCAATCTTAACATTTACTTTCTCAATGTAGACTCATTTGCTTGGAATGAAAGGAAAATTGAGTTCTCGGCGACCTCCAATTTCTTTTACAGAGCTGATTATAGCTGTCATAAAGATCCTCTCAGGTAATGATCACTCACGGGTAAATTCTTGCTTTTGCTTCCTTTTCCTTGTTAGTTATTTTATTTTCAGTAATCATATTAGTTTGCTTAATTTGTTTACATTTCTGATGGTTCTAAGCTCTTCTTCTCATCCCTGCCAAAAATGTTTTAACATGTAGATCTGTGTTTACGGCGGTGTGCATCCGTTGCATCCAATTATAACAAGCCTCACGATCATTTCTCTATGGCCAGTCATGATTCTGAATTGGATCAGCAAAGAGACTACAAAGGTAATAGATTGTTGTTATTATTTGGTTGGAGTTTTATGCAGAAATTGCTAAACCATTGTATAACCTTATCCTTGTAGCTGAGATAGGATATATTTCTTGAATTGTTTGCCACTTTTAGGAGATATTTATTATCTCTTGCTCTGTTTTTTATAAACTTGGGGATATTGATTGGCCTCCATTATTGAGGCATATGGCATTCGGAAATAAAAGATTGCATAAACAGACATCGATGAAGGGGACATGATAGTAAATAAATGTATTATTTATGTTGTTAAGTCTGGAGCATAACTGAATGCTGAGATGACAAGGAATATTGGAGTTGGGAAATCCGTTGGAAATGAGAATTTCAAAGGGAACATTATCAAAAAAGTATTAAAGGGAAGGATAGGTAACTACATAGTAGGCATGGATTGAGAGAAAAAGGGGGATGGATCTGGAGGTTCTGTGCATTTGTAGTACTCTAGATTTATCTCCATTGTTATTCTCCATTTTTTAGTAGTTTAGTTTCTATTAGTAAGAAATTTCATTTGCTTAACATTAAAGCACTCATCTTTCTAAACCCTTGATTAAATTTTGTTGTCTCTGTAGGGAAGGAAATAACTGTTTTAATCCAAAAGAGAATTGGGGTTGCTGAGTTTTTTAGCTTTCTTACTATGCTTATAGTCCACTCTATCAGTTGAATTTGAAATTTTCGACTCTTCTGGCAAAATATTTTAGTCAAGCCCTTGATCTCCTCCAACGATCATGTGTGGACTATGACATGGAATTCACTCTCTCTATACTCCATCATACCTTTCTCATAGTTTGAATGTTTTCATAGGGAAACGTTAGGAGAAACTGTAGTTTGGTTCAGGATGTAGCAATCTGTAGAATGACCTTCATGGTTGTGCTTTGTCTCATCGTTCTGTACCTTAGTTTTATAAAGATAATTTTTTCACATTCTAACTTCTGGAAGATACATTGGTGGTGACTTACTAATGTAGAAATAAGTTAGTCTTCTGATTTTCTGAATGCTCCTTCATTTGAATTTTGCAGAGAATGAGACTTTATCCATCAGTTCCTCTAGAAAGTATCATGGAGCAGAGAGAGGCTCTTCTCTTAAGAGTTCTAATGCTTCTCAGATTAGTGGAATATTGACATGTAATCGGTTGGAAAGTTCGCTGTCCATTTCTGAAACTCCTAGCACTTCAACTACTGATACTTTTTCACTTAAGTTAAGGGTCAGTTCTTCCACGTCTGGATCTTGTAGTGGTGCATCAAATAGTTCATACTGTAAAACATCCATGATTCAAAATAATTCCAGGAAGAATGTTCGCTTTGTGGAAACCACTCCAATTGTAATATTGGATGATGGCCAAGATCCTTTTGCATTTGATGAGGATGACATTGCACCCTCTAAGTGGGATCTGTTATCAGGAAAACAAAAAAAACCGCATTCTAAAAAGCATGTGGTAGCAAGCAGAGAGTTCGAAAATGAATGTCAATCTCACACTGCTGTTATCCAACAAGAATTAAGTAATGGAGACATCAATTGTTCCAGTTCTGATGTTGGTGATGAAAAAGATTCCAGCCTTCTGATTGACTGCCTTCTTACTGCTGTAAAGGTATTTTATGTGACTTAGTTTTGTTTTATATATCATTTAGGTACAGTTACATATAATGTTTGAGTAATTGAGTAAAAGTGGAGGACTTGCTTCCCTGTTAAACAATTTAAATTTTTTTTTTGTTTAATATATTGTTACAATCCTGAGTTTTCTATGTTACTGTTAAGCACTAATGTTTTTGGAGAAATATCTGCTGGACATAATTCTTGTTTTGTTTATACATACTAATAGACCTATATGTAGAACTAGGATATGGTTTGTCTCTCTGCCTTCTTTTGTTTTTTCCTTTTCTCATTGGAGATCTTTTCATTTTTTTTTTCTCATGCAGTTGGTTACAATTTTTTCACTAACTAATGTTGTATTATTTTAGGTGCTCATGAATTTGACTAATGATAACCCTGTTGGCTGCCAGCAAATTGCTACGTATGGAGGGCTGGAGACTATGTCTATGTTAATTGCTTGTCATTTCCCTTCTTTCAGCTCGCCTTTGTCCTTTGCTCAGATAAAAGAAAATGCTGTTGGAACTACAAAAGATCATCAATCTGATAAGCATCTGACTGATCACGAGTTAGATTTCCTTGTTGCTATTCTGGGTTTGCTTGTAAACCTGGTTGAGAAGGATGGTCATAACAGGTAATTTGAAAACCTTCCCAAATGGCTGTTGGCAATGAACTAATAGAGCTACATGAACAAGAGATAAACTTGTTTTCTTCCTTGAGTGTTTTTCTCCTATTGTAATTTTTTATTTCGAACAATTGAAGGGATCCACTCACAACAGTAATAGCCTTTTATAGGATTTGAATTTAACAAATAGAATTGTTGAATCATGTGATAATTGGTGAATTTGTTTATGCTTATTTAATTTTATAAAATGTTTTTTTTAATAAAATAAGTAGATTTATACCTTTTTTGTGTTTATTTTTATCCTATCTGCTTATTAAATAAGTGATTTTTTTTTTTTTATAAATTGCTTATTTCAAAATCACTTATTTTAAATTTAACCAAACTAACCCAATATCTTACTGATCATATATATCAGCTTTTGAATTAAGCATATGTAATAAAAGTACACTGTCCATAAAAATGAAGTGTTAACTAATTTTTAAATTATATAAATTTTTGTAAACTTGATCAACATGATATGTATTTCTAATCCATTGGTTGGACTAACGAGTTCAATGTCTATATATATATATATATATATGGAAATGTGTCTGGTGAAAACGCTATTTTTAAGAGAATGAGAGGAGCAAGTTTTGGTTGTACTAAGTCTTAGAGTAAACATAAGACTGAAAAATATGATAAAGGAGCTTAAGATATTAATTATCTCTTAGTCGATACAGTTATTTATAGTAAAAAAAATACACTTGATTACAAACAGGGTAGAGATTAAAGGCTACACCTAGGTGCCAGTAGCTAATAAGAAGAAACCGCTTTTAGTAAAGATAGGTTAACCTATCTCAACAAGTTATCTAATTAAATAATCTATTGTAACAAGTAAAAGCCACCAGACATCTGCGTTTAGGGGTGAGACATGTTGATGTTTAAGTTCCACATTCAGTAGTTTGGGATGCTCGATGGAGTATTTAAGTGCTTTATTCTCCCCCCTTAGTAGCTTTTGAGGGTGGAATCCCGAAGTACTTGGGTGTTTATTAGTGTATATGCAATGCTTTCTTGTGTTTTTTATGTGTTTTTTTGTACCATTTAATTGTAATATTGCATGGTGTCAGGTTCATAGGAATTTTGTTCGATAACTCTCTATTCTGGTGGTGTGTTCCTGGATTACACTTTTATTCTATTCTTCACAATTATAATATTCTATGTTTGTTCTGTAAGTGTTTCATTTGATCACAGTGCACAACTATTGTATTGTAGTGACATTGCATTATACTTGTTTTTGCTAATAAAATATTCACAATTGAATCCATTTAATTTGTTTTATGTTTATTTAACGAATGAAAGATAGATCATAATGTCTTCTCACTAACTTTAACTTTGAATTATATACAATTACAACATGCTAAAGAGGAAAAAACAAGAAACTTTTGCCATTCAAATATTGTTTTTTTTTTCACAAAATCCCTTTCAAGCAAGCTACTGGTTTTATGCAGATCAAGGCTTGCAGCTGCCAGTGTTCTGCTACCTTCCTCAGTAGGCTCGTGCCAGGAGGTTCGGAGGGATGTTATTCAGTTATTATGCTCCATCTTCTTGGCTAACCTGGGTGAAAGTGAAGGAGATGGAGAAGATAAGCATTTGCAACTGGTGGGTGGCATGTTCAATTTTTTCCAAAGAATTCTTGTTATAGTTATTATGTCTGTTCACATTTTTATTGTGTATGTATTGGTGAGTGCTTGTGGGAAGCTTGGAATAGTGTGGAATGATAGAATTGCTATTTTGGTTGAGAAATTACTGATGTTGTATCCTCTAAGTAAGTGGAAAATCTATAGCGAATCTTCTGATGTTGTATATTATATCATGTGTGATGGTTCAACATAATAAGGTGTGATAATGAAATCGGATGCTTGTGGAAAACAACTAGGAATTGGCTTCAAACTTCCTTGATATCGAAATATTCATCTGCTGTATATTAGAAGCACTTAGGTGTCTTAAGTTTTTCAATGTATGGGTGGAGAGATATATGAAAATTGGTTGCTATTCATGTATCTTGAATAATCTTATGTTTTATGATGCAGAACGATGAAGCAGCTGTTATACAAAGTGAAAAAGAAGCTGAGAAAATGATTGTGGAAGCTTATTCTGCGTTGCTTCTAGCTTTTCTTTCCACTGAAAGGTTGATTTCTATCAATTCTCAATTGTCTCTTTGCATATCTCAAGGCCTATAATTTACATTTTTGGTTATACAGTAAGAGCATCCGGGCAGCAATTGCTGACAATCTTCCAGACCAGAACTTAGCAAGTCTTGTACCTGTGCTGGACAGATTTGTGGTATGTAGCTGTTGAATAATTATTTTACATCATGGGGATGAAAATGTGAAACTAGCTTAACATATTGTTGGTTAGACAAATTTGTATGGGAATTAATTGTAACTGGGGTCTCACCTTAATCATTTTGGAATTCCTGGGGCCTCATCTCCTTTCCCTTTTTTGCTTTTTAAATTTAAAGTGTTAACCACTGATAGTTTTGTGTCTTCATCTGCAGGAATTCCATCTATCATTGAACATGATTTCACCCGAGACTCATAAAGCTGTTAGCGAGGTCATTGAATCGTGTAGAATTCGATGAAAGCTCGAAGGGAAAACTCTGTACAGCTACAGCTTAATTTAGGGTTTGTTGTTATTCCAGAGGATATGGGACTCTGTTACACCGAATGTGACCAACTTTTATTCTCTGCTTCACAGCTTATACCCTTATTTTTATATCACCATGCTGGTGATGATGCTGAGTTGCTTGTATACAAAAGTCAATAGTGAGAAATCAGTACCTAGCATAGTCTGTGTGTAATCAATAGTGGTAATTTTTTTTTTCAATATTCTTGTTTATTCATTCATTTTCTTGTATCGGAAGCTTATATCTTTTGTTTAAAGCACCCCACCTCCTTTGTTTCTTCATGTTTTCTTCACCTTGATACAAGCAGCAGCTTAAGTCAGTCTTGTGCAATTATAATGCTAGTGCAGATTGGTGCATTGACATGCCTCGTTCATGACCAACTTTTATCCATATTGAACATTGTGTGATAGTTATTAAGCCTCACGATGTTATCTGATAGATTTAATAATAATAATAAAAAAGAACCATTCCTCCGCAATTCTAGGGGTAAAATGGTATCATGGAAGGTATGGGTAATGGGGCTTTAAGATAGGATAGATAAGATAAGACAGATTGGAGAAAAGGATAGCCAGAGTTATTTAAAAATTTAATTAAAATAAAGTTAATTAAAAAATATTTTATTAATAAATCAAAATATAATGGTTTTTTAATATAAAAAATTGTGTCATTCTTTTTTCTTTTGTTTTAAAAATTGGATTAGTCAAATCGGTCTAATAAGAAATTGGATTAGTTTTTACATAATTGGTAATATTGAAAAAATTAAAACTAAAAAAATTAATTGCATTTTTAAGTTAAATTGATTTAAAAAAATTAATAATTTTTTTATAAAAATATAATATATTTTAATTTTTTTATTTTATATTAGTTAATTGTATTTTTATTTTATTTTAATAATTATTTATTTTATATCTTTTATGATTATAAGATAATCATAATAGTAATTTTTATTATTTTTTATAAAAAATATTGGTATAAATTAAATTATTATATTATATTTGTAATAATAATTTTTATTATTTTTTATAAGGAATATTGATACAAATTATTTTATTATATTATAAAAATATTATTTTATTAAATTTCATTTGAAGCGGTTCAGCTTTTAGATTTTGGACCTGTGTTCACCTATTTAACATTGCTATTAATCTTAATATTATTAATAACAAATAAATAAATATAATTAGTATATTTATTTATTTTTAGTAACTTGCAGAATAGAGGATACTATTTTTCTATAAAAAATGACATACAACTTTTAAAATTAACTCATTTTTAATATTATAATAATAATTTTAATTTATTTTTATTTTTATTTTTATTGAATCTTCTTGTATTAATAAAAAGGGGTTGTAGGAGGAATTGTTTGGATGAGTGGATGTCAAACAAAATATCACTGCTCATGTTACTATTACTATTTTCCACCTACTAAAAGGGACTTCTACATGGATTCCAGCTTCAGCTTCAGCTTCAGGTAACTAGTTTGACATCACTGGGACCATTTTTTATTTTTTTTTCTAATTTTTTAGAGGATGAAAGATATAATTTTCAAGTTCCTTCACAGCCCTAGAATCTCAATTCTTTTCCAAAACAAGTTCCATTCCAATTTCCAAATGTTTTTCTTCACTGTCTTCCTTGTCTGCCTTTCACTTGCATTCATCATCATCAAATGGTATTCCAATGCAGCAAACACCCATAACTCACCCCCCTCACCTACAAGGTTACCTCTCCTGGGAAATCTCCACCAACTTGGTTCTTTCCCACACCACAGACTCCAAACTTTGGCTCAAAACTATGGGCCTCTGATGGTGCTCCATTTCGGGAAGGTACCAGTGCTTGTGGTCTCATCTGCTGATGCAGCACGTGAGGTGATGAAAACTCATGACCTGGTCTTCTCAGACAGGCCAAAACGTAAGATGAACGAGGTTCTCTTGTACGGTTCCAATGACCTGGCAAGTTCTAAGTACGGAGAATACTGGAGGCAAATAAGGAGTGTGAGTGTGTTGCACCTTCTAAGTACCAAAAGGGTTCAGTCCTTTCGCTCTGTAAGAGAGGAGGAAACTGCTAGAATGATGGAAAACATTAGGGAGTGTTGTTGTGATTCATTTCATTTGAATTTGACTGACATGTGTGCTGCAGTTACAAATGATGTGACCTGTAGAGTGACTCTGGGAAGGAGGTACTGTGGGGAAGAAGGGAGGAAGTTTCAGAAGATGTTTTTGGAGTTTGGGGAGTGTTTGGGTGCTGTGTCTATAGGGGACTATGTACCTTGGCCATTGGGTGAGCAAGGTTAGTGGTTTGATTCAGAGAGCAAATAGAGTGGCCAAACTTTTGGACCAATTTGTAGATGAAGTGATTGAGGAGCATGCTAGGAATGGAAGAGATGGGGGTGTTGATGTTGATAGTGAGGACCAGAGTGATTTTGTGGATGTTTTGCTTTCGATAGAAAAAAATAACACCTCCGATTCCCTGATTAATAGAACTGCAGTAAAGGCTTTGATACTGGTTAGTAAACACCATCTTTTTTTCAGTGATTATTACATTCTTCTTTCACTAATATATAGCTGGTATTATTATTTAGAGTAGTATTATGTCAGGATCAAGGTGAAAACCTTTCAAACGGAAAAAAGGTGTACGATTAGTTTTTCCATTTCCCTTTTTGTTTTCTGTTTTGAATGTGAGGCTTTGCACATGTGGTGTTGCTTCTCCTTTACTTCAATTGTTGCACAGGTTACAATAAAATCTTTTTCAACCATTCTTGCAATTTTTTCATGAGTAAATAGCTAATTCAAATTGTTCAACGTTTATGAAATGAGGTATATATTTGGTTTACCATTGAAACTTTGTTAAATCAGGGAGGTTTGGCAACTATAAGTTGTCTTGTAATTTTGTTTTCTTTTGTGCAGGACATGTTTGTTGCGGGTACTGACACTACTTTCACAGCCTTGGAGTGGATAATGTCTGAATTGTTAAAGCACTCAAGTGTGATGCATAGATTGCAAGACGAGGTGAGAAGTGTGGTTGGTAACAGGACTCATGTAACTGAGGATGATTTAGGTGAAATGAAGTACTTGAAGGCTGTAATCAAAGAGAGTCTTCGGCTTCATCCCCCACTTCCCTTATTAGTCCCCAGGAAATGCATGGAAGATGTCAAAGTGAAAGGTTATGACATTGGAGCTGGAACTCAGGTATTGGTGAATGCATGGGCCATTGGAAGAGACCCTTCATGTTGGGACCAACCTCTTGAGTTTAAACCAGAAAGGTTCCTCAGCAGTTCCATAGACTTCAAAGGACATGATTTTGAGCTTATTCCATTTGGTGCAGGAAGAAGGGGTTGCCCTGGAGTAACATTTGCCACAGCAATAGTTGAGATGGTAATAGCAAACCTTGTCCACCAATTTGATTGGTCATTGCCTGGAGGGGCATCTGGGGAGGACTTGGACATGTCTGAAACCACTGGCCTTGCTGTTCATAGAAAATCTCCTCTTCTAGCAGTAGCAACTGCATATCAGAGAAATTAGTACATAATGACCAGAAAAGGAAACTACGATAAAAAAAGAAGACGAAAGAAAGTCAAACACAACACTTTCATGTTGTGGATGCAGGCTCCTGTCATTTCCAATTGTAGTTTAATGCCATTGCACAGCTTTGTGACTTTTAATGGATATTATGTTTTGTTCAGATCTGGTAGGTTAGGCATAAATTAACTACAAAACTTGGTTGACATTAGAGTTTTGCATGTTATAGATATAAACAATTAATGTTGGTTGATATTATAGTTTGACCTACAATATGATTAATCTATCAGAAAAAAAAAAACAAGTTGAAAAAAGATCATTTAGAGACCAAATTTAGGAAGAGGTGTAATTATCATCTTATATAAATCAGTTTTATGAAATTAAATTAGATTTCAAATTCATTAAAACAGTCATTTAATATATTGTTAGTGTACCAAACTTGATTTAAAAGAGTCATCTAGTATATTATTAATGTACCAAACCTAAGATTTTTTTTCACCTCAAATACTTTTTTTTTTTGAGTTAGAATTATATGGCATATTCTATATTATACTGAATTTATTCAAATAATTATTTAATATATCATTCACACATCAAATGCAATAATATTGATGTAAGAGGATATGTGTTAGAAAAAATTTACAAGTTTCACATAAAAGAACCTAAAAAAAATACTATATAAATGAAAGTAATAATCATTTTACATATTATTCTTGTAAGATTTAATTCAATCTGGTTGATTTGAAATTTGTATTAGGTTCATTTAATTAAAGGATTACTCACTATATTATTTGTACAAACCTTGTTTATTGAGGTTAATATTTTTTTTTTGTGTGTGAGAGTTTGTGTTCTTGGAAAATAGCAAAATATACTCATAAAGTGTAGTAATAAAGTCAGAGTTGGTGTTGTTTGACTGAGAAGAGTTGAGTTCAGTCATGGATCGAATCCAGCACAAGTTCGTGAAGGTTGGCGATGCTCTCAATCTCCATGTCGCAGAAATCGGAACCGGTAAGAATCAATCCAACGCCGTAGTTTTCACGTCATGCATTTTGCTTCCATTCTTAATTCCTTCTTTCTATTGTTGTTTTCAGGTCAAGACGCCGTCGTATTTTTGCACGGTTTCCCTGAGATATGGTACTCGTGGCGGCACCAGATGATAGCCCTTGCCGATGCTGGATTCAGAGCCATTGCCTTCGATTACAGAGGCTATGGTCTCTCCGATCCCCCACCGCAACCCGACAAGACCACCTGGTCTGATATTCTCAACGACCTCCTTCACCTTCTTCAAGCTCTTGCTCTTCCCAAGGTACTCTCTTTCACGTGCCTTTACTCTTTGTTAATTGTTATGCTGATTTTCTTAATTTTTTTAATCTACTTGTGGGATTTTACAATTGTTTCAAATATCAACCGTTAACTCATCATGCACTCAAGACAAATGCTAGGAATGCATTATCTGGTCACACACTTTTTTAGGTATTTTTCAGAAATTTCAAAATATTGTGAGTCTTATATCCTGTTTAATAAACTTTTTTTTTTAATAAATTTTAAGTAATAAGTGCTTAATAAAGAATGTGTTGGTAATACTTTTCGTACATCTAATATTGTCGGTAGTTATCTTTCCTTAAAGGATTTCGCAAACGGGTGACCTGCTTTGTAGTGCTTATTTTCGTTGGATTTGCTAGAATTCTTAGACCAAACCAGTGAAAATTATCAGTGTTGAGTCAGAATTTGGGGAATTTTGGGATCTGGTGGTCATAATAAGATTTATTGCTAAAGTATAAAAAACGAGAAAAACAGAAAATTGTACAATTGAAAGAAAGTTGTCATCTGGTCTCAAAAATTGGAATTTTGTTTTTCATCCGCTACCGCATTGATTTTTTTTTTCTTTTTTTTTTTTTTTAGAATCTATCAGATAAGGTATGAGATTGTTAGTTAGAATTTAACTGAAACTGTATATTCAACCCAACCCCATTTTATTTCTTGAGTAAGATCGAGTGGGTTGATATGTCACACTAATGTAGGCATGAAGGGATGACTGAAATGATGGTATGCTCAACTGTTGCCTAATTTATTCACACCCTTAATGCACTTTAGGTGTTTCTTGTTGGGAAAGATTTTGGAGCTCGTCCTGCATATCTATTTTCCATTCTACATCCTGAAAGGGTCTTGGGAGTTGTCACGTTGGGAGCCCCGTATGTCCCCCCTGGCTCCTATGGGTATCACAAATTCCTTCCTGAAGGCTTCTATATTTCGAGATGGCAGGTAATTATAAATGACAAAACTTAGATGCACATTCACTTCCATAAATACTCTTGGTACTGTTTTGTTAAGTTGAAATGTCACCTTATTAACTTGTGAAATGACTTTTACTGCAATATCATGAGAAGCTTCCAATTCTGATTGGAAAACAACGATGACATATAATATCACCATAACTTTCATTCTATCTAAAATATCAGGAACCTGGAAGGGCAGAAGCTGATTTTGGACGCTTTGATGCAAAGACTATTGTGCGAAATATTTACATCCTCTTCTCAAGAAGTGAAATACCAATAGCTAATGAAAACCAAGAGATTATGGATTTGGTGGAACCTGATACTCCTCTTCCCTCTTGGTTCACAGAGGAAGATCTTGCAACATATGGAGCCTTGTATGAGAAATCTGGATTCCAAACTGCTTTACAGATGCCGTATAGGTGCAAGCTTTTGTTCTTTGTTGACTTTGTTTTTTTTAAATGCGGTTTCTTACTAGCACAAAACAATAAAAGCGTGGTCTCTTGAACTCAATATTTTATCTGGTGAAATTCTTGTTAATGGTGGATTGGTTTTTGTTTGTATTTGCATTGCAGGTCAATAGGCGAGGTGTTTAACTTACCAGATCCTGTGGTTAAAGTTCCAGTATTTCTGATAACGAGTGGCAAGGATTATGCTCTGAAATTTCCAGGGATTGAGGATTTAACAAAGGGTGAAAAAGCAAAAGAGCATGTTCCCAATTTGGAGGTTACATTTATACCTGAGGGAACTCATTTTGTTCAAGAACAGTTTCCTGCACAGGTGAATCAACTTATCCTTGACTTCTTTGCCAAACACACTTGATAGTAGACTTAAAGCGTGGAAATAGCCGTTAATGGTGTATGTGAGATTGTGAGGTATGAGTGAAGCTAAATTATATGGTGTTCGCTGGAGGAACTAGATGGAGTTCTTGTGCAGGAAACTCGTGAAATGTGATGAGTTTTCTAATTAATAAATAATGAGTTAGATGTTGCATTTTAGTTTGAAAGAATATAAAGCTTATAATTAAAATATACTGAGGAAATCTTAGCTTTTTTAGATCATTAATCTGATTGAATCAGAGAGAAATTTGGTTTAAAGAAAAATGATTCGAAATAAATAATTATACATTAATTTTAATTAAATAATGATACCGTTTAAATAAAATCTACATAACATAATATTGATGTATAATTTATACGATTCGATTATTGAACGTTTTGTAAGGATATATTCGTGCCATATATCATCTATCATTTAGATTATAAAAAAAAAGTAATTAAAAGTATATAGTTTCACTAAAATATTAACAAATTATAAAAAAATTAAGCTAAAAAAATATTAACTCTACTAATTTTTTTTCTGTTGTAAATGGAAATTTGTGAAGTAAGGTCGATAACTTGTTATGCACGAATAATTTTTGTTTATATTATTTTTTAAGTTAAAAAATAAATATTTTGAAAATCAAATTAATCATGTGTTTTGAAAATGTTAATACTCTTCGTATCCGTACGATGCAGTTTTTGAGAGATTAACTTGCCTTTGAAATATAGTTTTAATAACTAATTTGACATTAAATAAGTGATTATTCAGTCATCAATAAGTGACCAAATTAAATATTTTACACATTTAAGTTTTTTTTTTTAAGATTAAATTGATAGTCCTAACATATTAATCGTATAATTATTGATACAAAAATGGAAAAAGGTCAAATAATACTTTTTATCATAGTTCATCATTCAATTACAAAGTTTCTCTTTATTTTCGCTAGAATAGAAGTAAATTACATTTTTAATCCATTTTAAAATCTGTGTTTTACAAATTCTTTCGTTGTTTTTTTTTTGAATTGGATTCTGCAAAGAAATCTTTAAGTATTGAAGTTATATTTATTTACAATAATGATTTCATAAAGATAATCATTTAGAGATTAATGTTTTAGGTTTAAATTTGAAGTAAGTTTTTCATATTTACAATAAATATTTATTTACAATAATGAAGTAAATGTATTAACATATACGCTCGAAGTCCCACGGTATGGTTTAAATTAACCAAAAGTTCAAATTATTTTCATTGTTTTGAAATTTGAATTTGAATTAAATAATTAAATTTTAATTAAATTGATCTAAAATAAAAAATGGATTAAATTTTTTAGTCTAACTGATTTCAATAAAAAATAACAAGTAAAATTTTTATTTTTTAATACAATTTTTTTATAAAAAATACGATATATTTTTTTAATTTTATATCAATTAAATGAATTTTTAAGTAATAATTATGTTATTATATTTTTATTTTACTTTAATTATTATCAATTCTAATAATAATATTTATTATTATTTATGATAATAATTTTCATTAATTTTGTATATAAAATTTATTATCATTAATAAATTTATTATATATTTATTATATTATAAAAATATAATTTTATCAAAAATTCAGATCTTACTTGAATTTAATTAAATATTTAAATCCTAAACACATATTTTTATCAATTTAAAAAAAATATTTTTTCTTTTACAAAATAGTTCTTGAGTTTAGCAATAAGTAAATTACATTAAGCTCTACATGTTAAATTAATCCAGTATTTTAAAATTTAATCCTTTTTTTTAATTACTATTTTCCATTTCTCTATATATTGTACTTGTTTCATCAGTGTTTTTTAAGATTCTTAATAATGTTAAAATTTGAAATTTTTCAATTAATTATTATTTGTGTTTCAGTTTTTTCTCATTAAACCCAAACAAAACACGCGCATTTAACAACTCTGTTCTTTTGTTGTAAGACAAATAATTACTTTATCAATTGTTAGTTTACTATAACAACTAACAATCGATCCATCAGGACAAACATTATTTAGCTTTGGGCTATCAATTTCTTCTTAATGTAATGCATTAATTTATTTGTATAAGTTATTTTTTATGACATAATTTAAGATATAATTTTTAACTCATATATAAGAATTTAACTTATAAAAAACTGATTGCATTTCTTTATTTTTCCATGGCTAAAGTTCATAGAAAAGTTTCGTCATACCAAAACCATATGATGAAATCTCCCACACTCCACATACATATTGATGAACAAAGTCCTGCACTTTTGACTTAGTATCAAGTATGCTTGGCAAGGAAATCCAGAATGAGCCGATTCACCCGCTCAGGAAATTGTTCTTGAACAAAATGAGTTCCCTCAGGTATAAATGTAACCTCCAAATTGGGAACATGCTCTTTTGCTTTTTCACCCTTTGTTAAATCCTCAATCCCTGGAAACTTCAGAATATAATCCTTGCCACCCATTATCACAAGTGCCGGCACTCTAACCACAGTATCTGTTAAGTTAAACACTTCACCAAATGACCTACAAATAAAAACAGAACCAACTCATCATTAACAAGAATTCACCATGCTTTCATTTTACTTGTACTTTTGTGGTACGAAATAGCATTTCACTATGAAGGTAATGTAAAGAACAAATGTTAGTACCTATATGGGACCTGCAATGCATTTTGGAATCCAGATTTCTCATACAAGGCCCCGTATGCAGCAAGATCTTCCTCTGTGAACCAAGAGGGAAGAGGAGTATCAGGTTCCACCAAATCCATGATCTCTTGGTTTTCATTAGCTATCGGTAATTCACTTCTTGAGAAGAGGATGTAAATATTACGCACAACAGTCTTTACATCAAAGCGTCCAAAATCAGCTTCTGCCCTTCCAGGTTCCTGATATAGATAGAATCGAAGTCATGGTGACATTAGAGGTCATCACGCCGAGACCAAATGAATTCAAAACATAGATAAATATTGTTAGTGTTGAGTGTCTATTTTCAATCAGAGTTGGAAGCTTCTCATGATAATCAGCATAATGAAAGTTTGTATTAAAGGTCATTTTATAAGTTATTAAGGTAAAATTTCAACAAAAAAATAGTAAGACAAAAATGTAAACAAGTGCATCTTTTAAAATTACCTTCCATCTCAAAATGTAGAAGCCTTCAGGAAGGACTTTGTGATAGAGAGAGGGGCCAGGGGGAACATAGGGAACTCCCAACGTGACAACTCCCAAGACCATTTCAGGATGTAGAATGGAAAACAGATATGCAGGACGAGTACCAAAATCTTTTCCAACAAGAAACACCTAATTAAAGTTCATTAAGAAGAGGAATCAATTAGGCAACAGATTAAGCATATAACTAATCCGTGATATCATTACTCTTATAATTTCTTTTCAAAAGCATTTTTGCTCGTGCATGTTTTTCTGCTTAACATAGAAATAACAAATTAAAACCAAAAAAAGAGATTAACATAGGTTGACTACACTCACCCAAAAAGAGACATGTGAATGTACAACCTTTGAAAATTTAGCTTTGGAAAAGAAAAAGCAGTTGAAAAAAAATTTGCTAGACAGAGAGAGAGAGAGTACCTTGGGAAGAGCAAGGGCATGAAGAAGATGAAGGAGGTCGTTGAGAATATCGGACCAAGTGGCCTTATGAGGTTGCGGTGGGGGATCGGAGAGACCATAGCCTCTGTAATCGAAGGAGAGGGCTCTGAATCCGGCATCGGCAAGGGCTATCATCTGGTGCCGCCACGAGTACCATATCTCAGGGAAACCGTGCAAGAATACGACAGCGTTTTGACCTGAAAACAATAATAAAAAGGAGGAAATAGGATTTAGGAACGGAAGTAAAATGCATGAGCTGAAAACGACGGCGTTGGTTCTCACCGGTTCCGATTTCAGCGACGTGAAGATTGAGATCATCGCAACCCTTCACGAACTTGTGCTGGATTCGATCCATCACTGAACTCACCTCTTGTCTGTCACAGGAAGAGCGTCGGTGATGAATGCTCTTTTTAAATTCCTCCGCTTGCAAATTGGCGCGGTTTACTATAAAATATCTCTGTATACGTGAATCAAAATTTGTCTCCTTTTCTTTCCTGTGATCAAATTATTGTCTTATTCTTTCTCCTTCCACTGTTGTGTCACCAGTTTCTAACAATTTAATTTAACAATTTAACAATTTAATTAAAAATCAATTTCTAATTAAATCTTTAAAAATATTGTATCACCAGTTTAGTGAAATGTTCTTTTTAGCCTGAAAATAATCTTATGCGTTTTTTTAAATCCTTTATCATTTAATAATTTCTTAAAATATCAAAAATAAATGAGAAATTATAAATTGTAAAAAAAAAAGTTTGTAACATTTGATATATTATAACCTTGTTTATTTTATTTAGAGAACAATACTGAGATGTTTCATATAATGGACAAAAAAAAAAAATTTTGTTAATGAAATTTTTTATAGTGCATTAATGAATTCAAAACTAGTATCTTCCATACTAATTAAAAAAAACTAAATCTAAGTAATTTTTTTTCATATTATTATTAAAGTTACATAACCTTTCAACAACTTTATACTTGATTCTTAATAATAATAAAAAAAGCGTAACTTTTAAAAAGAGTTTGACATTTTTATGATATTATTTATATAAATACAGTTGTTTAATTAATTTTAAATGATAAAAAAAATTCCGAACTCATTTAAGCAACTTATTTAGTGCGTGTTATTAAAAAAAAAATCTTAAATCCGAAGTGAAATGTCTGTTATGCCTTACATTATTTCGATATATTAATATACATAAAATGGGCAAGTAGAATTTTATAATAACTTTTTATTGATGATAAAAAGGGAAATAATTTTAAAATATATACATTTAACGTCCCAAAATTAATTAAACTAATGAAATATTGTTTTAATATTATTTATAAAATTCCTGTTACATGTGATATGAACGAAAACAATTTTAGTATTTTTAAAATAATTGAGGAAAGTAAAAAAAAGAAGAAGAAGAAGAACTATTTGTTTTAACAAATAATTAAAGGTATACAAATATTTATTTAGTTTGATATGAGGGAGTGAGATAATTTCAATATTTGAGAGTGAACAAATTTATGCCAAGATGATGTATTTATTATCATAAAGAAATCAGTGTATTAATAAATATTTTTATATATTTTTTATCCTATATATTGTTTCTTAAATGTATCCTTAGTAGTTGCTATTTAATTTAAATATCTTGAAATAACGAAAAAAAACCTTCAACTTTTTCCAAATAAAATTAAATTTTTATCTTAAACAAGAAGTGTATTAAAAAGGTAATTAATAAGTATTTAGAGGAAATGGAGAAATCTGAAAATGACAGGAAACTGCATTAAGCATTCACACGTATAAAAGTTAAGAAAAATGTTGACCATACTCATTACTCTCTCATACTCCAACTCAAACTCAACGTAGCAAAGAATTTGAAACGGTGAAAACCACAGAGAAAAAAAAGCGTTTTTTCTTCTCTTCTTTTCTTCTCAGTCCTTCTCACACTCTCACTTTTTTCTTCTTCTTCTGCTGATGCTGCTGCTGATACTGCTACTGCAAGGTATGTATGTATATATATATATATATATACCATCTCTTCATTGGTCGTGAATTTCACCACCTTTTTCATTACTACAGGCATCTCATTTCCATTTTCATTTTTTGTTGCATGCAACAGGCACGTGATTGAGATGGGTGATCAACAAACCCAGAAGCATAGAGTTCTGATGGTATCTGATTTTTACTATCCGAACTTTGGTGGTGTCGAGAACCATGTTTATTACCTCTCTCAATGTTTGCTCAAGTTAGGCCACAAGGTCAGCGTCTTAGATTTTTCCCAATTCATCTTTTTGAGATAGGTTTGGGAGTTGTTCACAACTCAATGTGATTGGTATATCGTCTTGGTAGAGAGAAATTGACTTTTATTTTGTTTGTTGTTGTGTTCTCAGGTGTAGTAGTACTTAGGATTGAGTTATTTCTTTCTTCTTAAGTAATAAGTACAATGAAGTTAATGTCGTAAATAACAGTTGTACATAGAGCAATTTGCCGTTTTTTATAGCTTGTGCTGTGGTAGTTATTTATTAATTGAACTGTTTTGTGACTATTCAGGTGGTGGTGGTGACTCATGCTTATGGAAATCGTTCTGGGGTTAGATATATGACTGGTGGTTTGAAAGTTTACTATGTTCCATGGAGACCATTCTTTAATCAGAGTACATTTCCAACCTTGTACGGGTTGCTACCAATTATAAGAGCAATTCTCATTCGAGAAAGAATTACTGTAGTACATGGGCATCAAACCTTCTCAACACTTTGCCATGATGCACTTTTGAACGCGAGGATCATGGGATACAAGGTTGTGTTCACAGATCATTCATTGCATGGGTTTGGGGATGTTGGAAGCATCCATATGAACAAGGTGATGCAGTTTACCTTGGCAGATGTGAGTCAAGCAATCTGTGTTTCCCACACAAGCAAGGAAAACACAGTGTTGAGGTCAGGTTTGGCACCAGAGAAGGTTTTTGTTATTCCTAATGCTGTTGACACTGCCATGTTCAAGCCAGCAATGGACCGTCCTAGAGGATCGGAGATTGTTATTGTTATTATTAGTCGATTGGTTTACCGGAAAGGAGCAGACTTACTTGTTGAAGTCATTCCAGAAGTATGCAGGTTACACCCTAATGTGAGTTGTTGAAATTTGAAATCACTGTTAGTTTGTCTTGCATAGTGCAAATTATGAAATTTGATTTTTGTCTAACATGGAGCTATTGGTATTAAGCTAAGACTCCTTTGGTAATGTATTCATTTCATTCTAGTGCTTGTAGATAACCAAAGATGAAAATTTGTTTGTTAACAAAATTGCAATGGTGCTTCTTCTGGTGCTCTGTTAAATATTTCCTTTTGAAAACATTTAATGGCTGTTTTTCAAAACTGCAGCTGCTGTTAAGTTATTAAACACGTATACATCTCTACCTTTTCTGGAATTCTAAGTTCATAGTTTACTAATTTAGTTGCTACTAATTTTATACTTTTCTTGTATCATACTTATAGTTTTACAATAACTTGTACCCACAACTTATTTGATGGCTTGACCATTAACAAGAAAATTATGTGGTAAGCTTACTGTATATGCAATTATGCATAACAAAACTAAGAGTATTCTTAAAATCATTTATGTTAATCTTAACATCTTGGTAGAACCTAATGAAATCTGATGTTGCATGTATATCTGATCACCATGATGTGAATTTTTAACCATTGACAGAGCAACCCCTATCTGTATTGCATCTGACCTCAGCCATTCCTATGATTTATGTGGTCTTTCTGCATCTTTTGCATGTGGCATTACTATTTCATTGATTTCCTCATGCAGGAGCCACAGTAAATTATGCACCAAGAGAAATATGTATGTCCAGAGTAAATTATATTTTAGCTTTTTTACTGAATATTTTCAAAGGCATAACTTATATATATCTATTTGAAGGTTCGATTCATTATTGGTGGTGATGGACCTAAGCGTGTGCGGTTGGAAGAGATGAGAGAAAAACATTCTCTTTTTGATAGAGTTGATTTACTGGGAGCTGTACAACATACACAAGTTCGATCTGTTCTAATATCTGGGCATATCTTCTTAACCTGGTTCGGTTTCCTCAAAATCTTTGCCCTTTCTTGGCGATGAGTTTATAATTCCGTCCTAATTTGTAGTGGTTGGTCAGATCTTCTACATTTATTGTCACTGTTGTTGTTACTTCACTGGCAAATAATCACTATCATAGAAAATAAGTAGGGTTATAGATAACCGACACAAGATAGGGTGAAAAATATAATTTCAATAAATAAGAGGGACAAGCCATTGTAAGTGCTTTTGCTAACATAGTTTGATGCATATCGACCTTCGAGAATTTCTTTCTGTTTTCATCAGTGACTGCAGCGATAAATTTAGTATTTTCATCCTCCACATAGGGTTGAGAGTGATATCACAATCTTCCTTTGCATGTTTTAAAATCAACGAGTACACAGTGCTAAATATGCTGTGCCAAGATGATAGCTATTTTTAAACCAGAGGATTGATTAGTAACATGTCATTGATCCCCCAAAGTATTCATTTTATTAACTGTCAGAATAGAGGTATTTTTATTCTGTTTTACTTTGAGTAATTTACGGTATAAATAAACACAAGTAGGACAGGAATTTTAGGCTCTATACTAGCCTATACAATAAATACAGATACACATGACTAAAAATAAGGTTCACCCTTGAACTAAGGATTTGATAGCTGATCTTTGCAATTGAGCTAACACTCCCTCTCAACTTGGTGCATAAATTTCTTTAATGCCCCACTTTTCGAGAGAGTCATAGAATTTCTTTCCAGAAACTGCCTTTGAAAGAATATTTGCCAACTCTTCCAACTTGACAAATGGAAACTACCTCCACATGCTTTGTTCGATCTAATTGGAGAGAGATTTGTGGATATGAATTTCTACTTTATTGTCACAAAATAGGTCCATCTCCATTAGTAACCTTCTAAGCCATAATAGTTCACCCAATCCTTTTGCCATGCCCCTAACCTCAGCTTTAGCAATAGACAAAGCCACTACCTCTTGCATTTTAATTCTCCATGTAACTAATTCCCTACCACAAATGGGAATTTCATGTCCAGAACATTCCTTACCCAATCCACACCTGTGTATCCTTCAACATTCAGGTGATTATTCTTAGAGAACATCAACCCCTTTCCAACCCCTTTCCCAGTGAGGATTTTAAATACCAAAGTATTCGAATCATTTTATCCATGAGTTCTTTCACTTGGATTATGCATAAAAATGCTCACTCCACTTATGACATAGTTAATATCGGGGCAAGTATGTGACAAATAAATAAGTTTTCCCACCAACTTTGATACCTTCTTTTATCCTTGGGCACTTATTTGTGTATTCTGAGTTTGTGATTTTGGGATATTGGAGTATTTGCTGGTTTACACTCCAGTAGCCAGAGATTGGGTCCAACTAATACTTTCTTTGACACAAGAAAATGCCTCTTTGTGACTTTGGCACTTCTATTCCCAAAAAAAAAAAATATTTCTGCCCTCCCAAATAGCACATGGGTCCAATTTGGTTCGTTGGTTTCTGTGGAGATTAAAGAAGGCCTCACGACCAAAAGTTCAAGGTTGAAGCATCAACGAAGTAGGCATCTATACATGAGATGAGAGTATTTGCCGGGGGTTTTAAAATGGAAGACCTTGGAGGACATGTGACTAAATAGGTATACAACTACGATTACAACATCATTACAACGGTGAGTTGCAACATGGGTGCCAAGAAGAAGAGCACGTGCTATTTCCAAGATAAGACAATTTTTTCATTAGGCGATACCATTCTGTTGTGGGGTTTGAGAGCATGTGGGGTTGTGAATAAGATCATGTTGCTCGAAGTATGCTTTTAAACAATGGTTAATAAACTCGCATCCATTATTGGACTGAAGGACTTGAATCCTTGCTAAGAATTGGTTTTGAAGCAGGATGTGAGAATTCCGAAATATTTGAAGCACCTCATTTTTTGTCTTCTTCATCAAGTAGAGCCATGTCATTCATGTGCAATCATGGACAAACATTACAAACCAAGGATGACCTGATACAGTAGTTCTAGGTGAAGGTCCCACATCAAAATGTATTAGAGCAAAAGGAACAATGCTTTTATTCAAACTTGTGTGATAGGAGGTTCTATGGCTTTTAGCCAAAATACAAGCAAGTATCACATGTAAACTCAACATTTTGTAAATGTTAAAATATATGAGGAAGTGCTCCACGATCCCTGGGAGGTTGAGATTTGAATATTGTTGGCTCGGGTTGCTGGAGAAGTTGATGAACATTGCTGGGATTGTGGGGGAAGTTGTTGAACGTTACTTGGGACGTGGGAAATTGAGCAATGGGAACATTACTCTTTTGCGAAGATGGGCTTCTTACCCATACCACAACTATGAATACACCATCCCACACTCTTCCAAAACACAATCATTTATTCTCTTTTCACTTCTCATCTCACCTTCTTATTCTCTTATACTGTATTTATTTACTCTTTTAAGAGTTCTTTTATAGTTTTAGAGTTCCTCGAAAAATTTGGGAAGTTCTTGTTGTATTTTGGGAGACTTACACAATACACGATAGATAAGTCTTTAAAGACAGTGATTATACAGGCCTCAGGAATCAAGACTTGTTTGTGTTCTTGTCAAACTTTACAACAATCTTAAGGACTTATGGCTGACAGTATGGATACCAACAACAACCGGAAAAGACAAACAACATTTCCGAAACTCAAACTGTCTTTGTGAACGGACATTTCGAAAATTGAAGTTTTCAATGGGCAAAACTTTCGATGCTGGCAGGATCTACTTTGTTGGACATGTATGAAGTGACTTCCGCTCTTACAACTATCAAACCTAACTCTAGTACTCCTACTAAACAGATTGAAGATTAGATTCATTCGAACAAGGTATGTTGACACACTTTGCTTAGTGTATTGTGTTAGACAAATGACATCTAGAGGAGGATGAATAGATGCACAAATTAAAATAGATGCCAAATTAAAAATTTATTTTAAGATGTCTAATAATTTATTAATTCAATATTAATTATCAAATTGAACACTGATAAAGCAGAAACGATAATATAATCAGAGAGATAAAAAGGAAGGATGTAAGCACAAAGATATAGGAAAAAGAAAAGAGCACACAATAATTTATACTGGTTCGGGTATAACCAACCTTACATCCAGTTCCCAGTCAACTCTAATCACAAGAGTGACCCCAATTCACTATCTTTCAAATTCAAAGGAACCAGTAAAAAGTAAACTAATTAAAAAGACAATCACCTCCTTAGAAACTCACTAAGGATGAACACCTCCTTAGAATCCCACTAGGGATGAACACCTCCTCTGAACAAATCAAATGATGAAAAACACCTCATTTGCAACCAATACACAAAGGATGAACACTTCCCTAAAATCACACTAGGGATGAACACCTCCCCGAACAAATCAAAGGGATGAAAACACCTCCTTAGAATCCTACTAAGGATGAACACCTCCCCGAACAAATCAAAGGGATGAAAACACCTCCTTAGAATCTCACTAAGGATGAACACCTCCTTTGAACAAATCAAAGGATGAAAACACAAACACATTGATCAAGAGACAATATGCACACCTAAACCCACAAAGGATGAAGGCAATAAAATAAGAACAGTCACACCTGGGTAATGGAGACAACAAATTGTAGAAGCCTGTAGAATGCCAACCTCCAAGAACAAGTGTGATTAACAATGAAAATGCAGAAGGCAATATGAAAAAGTTTTCTCAGAAAACCTAAAAGTGCTCTGTTGTCTTGCTCATAATTCTTTTTTCAAAACTGATTTAATGTAAATTGAATTTTCGAATTCTGTAATTGTGTATACTTTATTTTTCATCAAAACTCATTTAAATAAGAAAATAACATCAAAAAATAGTCGTTGGTCATTAATAATTTCGTGGAGAAAAATTAGGATGTATTAAAAAACATTTATTCTTCAAAGCATATATATTTTTCAAATTTGAACCGTCATAATCGATTATGTTACCAGTATAATCAATTATGACCAAAGAGAAAATCGTTTTTCCTTATTTGATGCATATAATCGATTATGACAGTGAAAAATGTCATATTACGAAATTATATCACACTTGTGCTTTAGAGACTTATGCATAATACCACTTCATCAACTTGTACCTCCATATCCAGTATTCTAAGACTTTATCTAGTATTCAGGAATCATCTTGGGCTTGCTTGATGTTTGAATGTTATTAACTTGAATCATTATCAAAATCATCTCTTGGGAATGTAGGGACATGTTTCACATTGTCATCAATCTTCTCCTCAGTGCTTTCAGTTCTAGGGCAATCCAACAAGCCATGTAGTTCCTTCTAAATCCAAGACTAAGCTAGAACCTTCTTTTCTTGCATGAGGTTTCACATTGTCATCAATCTCCCCCTTATTGCTTTCATATTGTCTAATGATTTGTTCGATATATATTGTTCTTATAAGGAAACCAAAGATATATGAGATTCATTGATTCTCAAATGCATTGTTGAAGATATCATGAGACAAAGGTTCGTTATCGGAAACTACTATTTTGGGATGCTAGAAGGCAAGGACATCAAGATCCAAATCAACAAGTATCACAAGCTTCTTGGAGATATTAAAGCAGAAAACATAGTTCTACCTGATGAGTTCATTTTATAACTTCTAATCGAAAATTTTCCGAAATACTAGACAGACTACAAACAACAGCTGAAACACAGGTATAAATAGATGTCACTGTCAAATCTTGTCACACACATCATCTTCGAAGACACCAACCGGAAGGAGTGTGCTACTGTAAGGGCTAAGACATTTTCAGTTAAGAAAAATATGGTAAAAGACAAACTAGTTCCAAAAAGGTATGAAAAAAACCTTGATCATAAGAAGAAAAACAATTTTAAAAATTCTCGTCTCAATGGATCTAACCCCACCTTCAAGAAGAAGAAGTAAAATTTCTTTGTCTGTGGAAAGTCAGGTCATTATGCACCTCAATGCAGACATAGAATAAGAAACGAAAATTCTCCGTAGGTAAATTTAGCCGAAGGAGAAGATACAGTTGTTGCGGTCGCTTCTTAAATAAACCTTGTGACAAATGTGAGCAAATGAGAGATAGACCCTAATGCTACTAGGCATATCTTCCCAAACATAAGTTTTTTTTCCTTCCTACATTAGTGTGGGGATGAAGAAGAACATGTTTATCTCGATGATTCTAGGACAACTCTTGTTCTAGGAAAAGGAAAAGTTCTTCTAAATCTCACACCTGAAAGACTTTGGCCTTGAGTGATGTGTTACATATATCATTAATCAGAGTTAATCTAATCTGTGTAACATTGTTACGAAAAGTTGGGATTAAGGTGTCATTCAAAATTTGATAAGATTGTTATGACAAAAAATAATGTATTTGTTGGGAAGGGATATTGTGATTAAAGTCTTTTTGTACTTAACATCCCTGAAGTTGTTAATGAATTTGGTTCTTCTGCTTATATTGTTAATTTATATGATGTGTGACATGCTAAATTAGGACACGTAAATTCCTCGTATGTTATAA